GCCAGGGGTATATAAAGGCCCCACGCTTTGACAGTTGGGCAGTCTGAAGATAGTCTGAAGTCTGAAGTTTGATAATACCGCGAAATACCGTTAGAGTAATAGTAGTTGCATAAATTGTGTTGTAAATAGTATAAGTTGTGTGTACAGAGTGAGACAAATAAATTCGTTAAGTATTTTATCGTGAGTTTAAATAGTGGACCCACGGAATCCGTAACAATATTAATGGGTGCTCTTTAACAAATATTTAAACAGTTTTTTTTTTAATTAAATAAACGAACTATATCGACAATATTAGTATCTGTACTTTTTAAAAATTTGTTATATCTTTAAAAATAATCTAAAATGTCAATATTTATAATTTTTTTTATTTTTTTATAAATGCATATTCTACGAAACCTTGACGAGATAGGTAAAAAATGGTATAATAAATTTGATAGACAATTAAATTATGCATATGATTCTCCTAAAATATACAGGGTGTGTTATTTAAATTAAACAAGTTAGTGCGGTTTAAAGCGAGTAGTTATTTAAAAAAAATTTAAACACTCAGTATGAGGTAGTTTTATTTTTATTATTGCAACACAATAACTAATCAATATATTAACTTTAGTAAATATTTGGTTTTAGAAACTTAAATACGCATAGAGAAATCGAGCATTAAAATTATTACAGTATTTTGACAAAAACCTAAATATTTCAAAAACGGTAAGATTAAAATACGGTAAACCTTAATCAAATTTACCTTTATTTTAATGGTAGAAGCTGAAAATGTAATAATATACAAGATGTTCCATTTAAAAAAATACAACTTTGATATTTTTTATTTATTTGGAGCACTTTGTATCTTGTAAAAATATTTTTAAATTGTAGCTCTAATAGTCCTTCAACGAACCCAAAACTTACAATTTGTAAAAGTCTAATCGTTTAGCTACAATACTCCGTGTGAACAACCCTGTATAGTAATCAAAAGAGCAGTGTCGTAACTATCGATGTGCCGTGTGTGCGAAGCACACGGGCCCGGGTCCTCGGGGTGCCCGGGCCAGCCCTGGACGCATTTTCACATGCTATAGCGAATCAAGCAGAATTCTTCTGTTTCTGATAAGAATATATATGAAATGGGTCAGGTTCTATACCTTAAATACCCCGATGATATTGCCTCTACGATTTCTTCTCAATTACTCTCCTGCAGGCAATGTTTCCGAAATAATTTGTATGAAATCAATTATTGCATTTTTGAACTCACTGAATTTATTTTAATTAAAACCCTTTCATCGTCTTCTAGTTTCAGCGAGATTTTAACATCGTGTCATATTTTTCTCACCATACCTGTTTCTGTGGCCTCGGCTGAAAGATCTTTTTCCAAATTAAAGCTTATCAAAAATTATTTAAGAAATACTATGGACGAAAAACGGTTATAAGCTTTGGCAATTATTTCAATTTCAATAGAAAATGAAGTTGCCCGTACAATAGACATTGGTAATATTGTGTCAACTTTCGCCCATGCTAATGCAAGGAAAAAAGAATTTTAACATGTTCATGTTCCTATTTACATTGTTTATTTTAATTTAGTTAGTTTTGTTGTTGTCTTTTGATTTGTTTTTATTTATTTTTTTATTTATTTGATATTTTATATGTTTTGGGTTACATATTCTGTGTTGCAGTAATAAAAAATACTATATAAAAAATAATTTGATAATGTTATTTCTAACCTAAAATATGAATGCATATTATTCAGATTAGTATAAAGTATTGAAATATGTAGGTGCGTAATAGGGGGCCCGGTAAAATTTTTGCACACAGGTCCGTGAGTCGGTTGTTACGCCACTGCAAAAGAGGCGTATTTAGGGATGAGTCCCCTAGTTTTTTGCCTATCTCTAGTACCTTATTACCTTTATCGGATTATGATCAGCTATAGGTAATGATGATTAAAATAGAACGAATTATCAGAATTGTGTGATATTATCCAAAGAGTACTCCGCATCGCTGAGAGATGGTGCAGGACTGTCGGGCTGAGCATCATATCAGACAAAACCGCGATAGTGCCATTCACCAGAACGCGAAGTCTAAAAAGTTGAAAAGAATCCATCTAGATGGAAAGGAAATGCTGCCATCACAGAAAATGAAATATCTGGGAATAACTCTGGACAGTAAAATTCTCTAGAACAGGCATATTAAGAACATTATTACCAGTCAAGCCACAAAGGCTCTCATGATATACAGAAGACTGGCGGGAAATAGATGGGGCTGCGCCACTAACATTTTGCGCTGGATGTATATACCATGTTAGCTTTTAAACTTAGTAGTACTTACATTTTGTATTTTAGTAAGCCCAAATAGCATTTTCACGACTTGCGACCACATGTTTACTAAACACAACGACGTTGGATTAGTTACAAAAAATAGTTAGCTCCGTACCTTGGGTATTAAAATAAATGTAAACGTTGTTGTAACGTTGTGCCGACGTTGAACTATTACTACAACAAAGTAACAGCTTCTGCGACGTCGAATAAACGTTGTCTTGTAACCTTTAATGCTTAAGTGATCTTTAGGTGATTCGGACAACGTAGTTACAATGTTGGGCAATAAAGAGTTTTTCGACGTCACTTTCAGGACCTATTCCAACGTTATACAAACGTCGTCTGTTTATCTGTTTTACTAATTCCAACGTTGTTTAGATTTCCTTATTCATTCGTTGGTAGGACGTCGAGCCACTACCTTTTTGCAACTGTATTGAACCATAACCTTAAATCTTAAATTTTCACTTCATTGTTCTGTTCAGTCAGACATTTCAGTGTTATTTTGTTTTTATAAAAAAAACTTAATTAAAATGGGACGTAAGGAAGGCACATATAAAACTAAATTTAAATATACATCGACATATTACAGATATTTTATCCACTCCCTCGTTTATTTAGAATATAGAGGGCGGCACAAGCTAGACTCTAGGATGACTAAATTAGGCGATCTTGTGACTAGTATACTACCTGTTAAGGCTGAGCTGCGACTTTATTAGTCCAGTATGCGACTACTCGAACTACTCCATCTTCATCTCCAAACCAACAAAGTGAAAACCGCTACGTTGTTGAATAAGAAAATGTTTTGTTCCTAAAATAGCAATTCCTGCTTTTTGAATACATTAACTTGAAATATTTGACTCTAAACAACACGCGGAAACAATTTTTTTCGACTGCGAATAAATTATTCTCATTTTACTAAAAAAAAATTTCAAGAAATTTTTTAAAACTTCTTTAATTTTAAGGCCCATTAGTATTTTTCATAGTAGAAACAATACATTTATCAATAAAGTTGTATGCGTTTAACTTTTTTGCCTTGGGTAACGAGTTACAGAGTTGGTTCAAGTGTTTCAATAATTATAATCTTCAAACATCCTCCACACTTAAATACTTTTGTTTTGTTTTCCTTTACTGCCATCTGGCCTATGTCTCTTACTAAACCATAAAAATAATAGTTTTACCACAGATTATACAGATTATAATCTTTGTTTTTTCTTTATTGTTTTTCGTGGTTCCAATTTTCGGAATCGGGCACTAGTTAGGTGACTAGTTTGCGCACATAGCACGCCCACTTATGGCCTCTAAAATTGTGCACAGCGCCTGACCGGCACAGTTATTAGAGAGATATCGGAAAACCGAATAGCGTCATTCAGTATTTACGCGTACCTTATCATGGTTACGATATGCGCGAGTCAATTTTTAACGCAACACCCGCTAATAACGTTACCGCCTGACGTAATTTGCGGATCAATTACGCCAGGCGCTCTTTCTAAATAACCTCTGATAACGTTTAAAAATTGCTTAAATGGGCATGTGCGGGTATTTGACAACCGGAGCCGGCCGGCGAGATCTTTTATTTTAGGTTATGTTTGAATTGTTTTGAATTTAGTTTTATTAGGTAATTTGATATTTAATTAGCTGGGATTAGTTTTAATTAAATAAATATGGCTTAAAATATGGATTCCACCTCTTCCAATACTAAAGAACCTATAAAGAGTCTTAGATTTACAGCAGATGACGACTTAGCCCTTCTAAGAGAATTTGTTGCTTGTTGCCCTAAACCCACTGGCAGACGTTGAACAATAAAGCACTGGAAGTAAGCACTTTAGCCCTTTAGTTTTAAAATACCTAGTAAACAAAACAATTGCAAAGTTTTAAATTCAAAGTTAGGTTAAGTTTAAATAGCGGACGCGACGCGATCATAATTCTTTCCGAACCGATAACTATAAATGAAGAGAGTTAATACCACCTCACGTAAAGGAAATAACACCTGGCCTTATTAACGTCCTATTCGGTTTAGCGATATCTCTCTATTACGCTGTTTATTGTTATTTTACGAGAGTTTATTTTTGCGCACAGGAAATTTGACTCGTTTGCACATCGTCATAAAAAACAATTTTCGTACCACGAATTAGGGACAAGATTTTTATCTGTATACTTATAGGATACCTAATCTGTGGTTTTACTATAATTATCGCAATTTAGGATAAAACGCGACTTAGACGCCATATTATTATAGTTTTGTATTTCTGTGAATTAGGATTTTAAACAACGTTGCAGTTTGTACTAAATTAGGCTACTAGCCAACGCAGGTATCCAACGTCGTTTCGACCCAAAAATTATTCTCCAAACTAGTGCAGACTAGGGTTGGCACGAGGTTGTGCCGACGCGCGACATTGCGCCCCGACGTTTGGTCGCGTGATACAACGTTGTCCCGACGTCCAAATGCTGCTTGGGGACTATCCTATTAGAAACATTAACTTAAATGGGAAAATTTTGTACTCTCTCAGTGTTAGGTTTTTAAATAAATATCGTTTTTAAAAATTTTTAGTAAGACTTTAAATTGTTTGTCTCTTAGAAATATTTTACTTAAATGAATAAATTTTGTAACTCTCACTGTTAAGCTTTTAAATAAACATGATTTTTAAAAAAGTATGCATTTTTTTGAAATAAAAATTATGGGTTATGCAAAAGAAAACTTCACAATACTTTTAACTTTTTATTCAAACGTCAAATAATAATCATCACCATATTTATTATTATTTTCGGTTTATCTTCACTCGTCGTAATCTTCCGAGTCGTCTTCTTCAGTGTGTATGGTGTAGTAGTATAAGTAGACTACGTTGCTTTCAACATCGACCCATACCGTTAGTTGTATGGGGCCTACCTCGTCCGCCCACACTTCCACCAAGAGCGGCGGTGGTGTTGCCGCTGGTGGGTGTTGCGGCGACGCAATATATGCAAACCGTAAAAAATGACCATATATAAATCTTAAACTAAATATAATATAATAATATCTCTCGAAAGGACTTACATTTTCGCCGGGGTAGAAATCTCCGACGACGTCTCTCGTGAAATCAATAGCGAAACTGAAATCTGAAAATATTTATGTGTTAGATTTATAAAGTATATAGGGAATAAAAATTAAAAGTTATGGCCTTAACGTGATTACCTATGGAACAGTTGCTTGGTACACAAAGGTACAGCTACGTACAGCAAGGTAAAACCTGTGCAAAGTATTGTACAGAGACTGACATGCATCTGCATCACGGGTGCTATGAGAACATGTCCAACAGCAGCAAGGGAAGGCATCCTCAAGGATACTACAGAGATAAGAGATAACAGTTATTTTTGCGTTTACGGTTTACGGACGAGCGCACAGTGCGGCGGAAGATAAATCTAGCGGGACAAAACCGTTTGGTTAGAAATAAAAGCCAAAAATGTGTACTGATAAGAATAAATAGTAGACATTCCAATTGATATAAAAATGCATGAATTATCTTTTGGTCCTATATATTCTTTGTATTTCGATACATTTTTATCACCCAAATTTGATCGTTTTCTGCTCAGCAAGGCAGAAGTCATACGAAAACAAAATATTTAAAAGTGCTTATACATTTTATTCCAAAGCCAAATTATGTTGAAGATTGCCAAATGTATGTACTTTTCTACTGTAGATATATTATTTGTTAAAATCCTTCGTGCCTTTTTCAAATATTGATATATTGAATGATGTAGATATTTTGAGTTACCAATAGTTGTAGAATGTAGAATGTTTAGGAGGGGAGTTAGTCACCGCCACCTTACAGATCTATTGTGTGTTCCCCTTTCTTGAGTTATAACGAGTTATAACTAATCATACAGTCTCAAGGCTTTAACAAAAGCCAGTATCTGAGACGGCTCCACAGAGGCCAGCTCTCTATCCTTGACATCAGCCGTACCAAAGTTTATGGCATGAATGGTCGTCGTCTTGGCGCACTCAGTGATGAGAAGTTCTGGTGTTTCCCCATATTCCCCACAGAATCTGCATTCGCCGTTGTTTCTCAGCTTCAGCCTACTGAGGTGTTCGTCGAGGAGAAAGTGTCCAGTTAGAAACCCCGTGACAATCCGAAGACTGTTTTTACTTAAATCGAGGAAAACCTTTGATTTTTCTCGGTCGTAGGTTCTAAGGAACTTTTTCGAGTGTCTTAGACCGTTGGAGGACACCCTACCAATAGTTACCAACACAGGTAGTCACAGTCACAAGGAGTTCAAGCTTAACAGGTAAATGCCCAAAAGTTTCATTTCAATCGGATAGTATAAAAACGAAACAAAGACTCGTTAAAGGGTTAATTGAAGAACATTCAAAAGAAGAATTGGGTTTTGCAAGTACTATGAGCTTTAGGGCTAGTGAGAGTAAGCCGAGTAAGGATGCTGCTGTAATTGTTGAAACCTTAACTCCATCGAAAGGCACTTAGTTTAAAAAATTAATAGCTGCCCATACACGGAAAGGCCCGGCCTTCGGACTTGGCCTTGAGGCCGGGGCTTTCACCCAAATTACCATAGCGGAAATATATCCGCGGACTTTGCCTTTCACGCAAGCCTATGTATTTGGGTTAAAGGCCCGGACCCAAGGCCAAGTTCGTAGGCCGGGCATTTCCGTGTATGGGCAGCTAATAATGACACCAATAGTCAGTTCGGCAATTTTCCTCAAGACAAAAACATCCAGAATGTTCTAGTTAAATAAAGCATGACGATATGCTAAAGTCTTTTTTTACTTTTTGATAATTTATAATAAAACTAAATGATTATTACTAGTTTTAATAAAAATTTAAAAAATTGTCTTAGATACTCATGGATAATTAATGGCGTTCCATCATTTTTTATTTTGATAAATCAATGGTAAATGCGCTAATAAAATTAATCATCTGTTTGAATGGGGGAGGGCCCCCACCAGGTATGAGACATATGGTGAATGGCGTTTTTATATGTTATTTGACTTGTATACGAACGTTGTTCATTAGGTGATCTATACCTCTGAGACAACGTAAATGGGGCCCTGGTCAACACACTCCTCCCGTTATTATATATAGACATGTAGATAAAATACAAATAATTTTAAAAGCGATTGTGGTCCCGTTGATTAAGGCGCTAGCATGGCGATCAAGAGGACCGTGGTTCAAATCCTACACGGAACTTTTTCACAGGTTGGCGCTCGGTGATGACGTCATACCTCTGGTTCCTGGAATTCAGTGTAAAACTTATTTATTAAATTTCAGAAGTGATGACTCATCCGTCTGGCGCCACGGATGATGACGTCATACGTCAATGGGTCCCAAGTTACAGTTACCTTCCTTATAGCGCTTGAGCTACGCGGTAGGTGGCGCTTGGTAGTTCCGGAGGTAGGCGTTAGGTGGCGGTCGGCGTCTACGTACACTGTTGCCGGCTACTCAACGAAGTGCAACGTTGCCAAATCTAAAAATCAGTAGATTTAGGGAATTTACATATACTCCATGTTATAAGATTTACATAGGGTGGGTCGCTATGGACGGGAAAATTTCACTAAATTTAGGAAAAAAATGGGGATTAAGCTTGGTCTAAGGTGACCCCATGACTACTATATTATTTATTATTTTCAAAATAAAATAAAATAGAATTTTTAAAATAAAATATACAGGATCTCACAAGATTACAAAGTAATTAAAAAATAACTGCTAAAGAGTTTTTTTGTAAGTATTTCACCTGATATCATAATTTTGTGTATTTGGCAATAGTTTACAGTACGGTTTTTGTGTGTCATGTACGAATAATATCATAGTTTTATTATCTTGTATTTATTTATTTATTAATAAATTAAGTTGTTAATAAATAAATAAATTTAAGCATATGGTTGCCATATATTAGACCATTTGCTATGTTCTTAGATTTTAAGTCCCAAACATCGCTCCTGAGATTTTGTCCCGCTACAATAACCATCCGCCGCACTGTGGAGCGCTGGTCCCTGCGTGACGTAAGCATCCACGGCGACTACGACGCGACGGCGGCGTTTTGACGCGAACGAACAGTCCTTTAGAATATACTGTTCAATTTGCGAAGTTTGAAACTTTCGTCATCATTTTCGGCGCCATATTGGTTTTCACGTATTTCTTGACTTGGTCCATGAGTTGTTTATATCTCTGGTTGTAAACTAACAATAACAAATTTAATAACAAAATATTAAACAATGACAAATTTATTGTAGCCTATCCGCAGTGCATACAATGAATAAATACGTCCTCTATTAATATGTTCATGGATCTTATAAGCAGGAATTCCAGGGGACAAACGAATATTGTGACTTGTTTTGCTGCTTGTTTTTCTTTAACTTTCACGATTCCTCTGGAACTTATTCTTTGCACAGTCGAGCATGAAATTCCTAAAGCCTCCGATCTCCGATGCTCTCTATAAAACACGTGAAAATTTTCTATTTAGTTACAAAATATTAACTCGGTAGTTGTCCAATTACATCGTAAACAGCCGACACAGGTAAAAGGTTTTTTTCCACCATCTTTTTCGAGTTTCAAATATTCGATAACTTTTAATATGAGCCGTTGTTCTTTTTCACTAAAACGGGACGGCATTTTAAACACAAATTAAATCACAAATAACTAAATAAACAGAGAAAATCCCACAAAAATTTACGAGAAACTATCGGAGTCGTTGAAATTTAACGGCAACGTTGACAGTCGGCGATATTCTTTATTCTTTTGTTCGATTTCGGCGTGTAACAAGAACAGTTAACCTAATAGGACTGCTCATTCAGCCAAAAGTGTCCGCCACATAGACTTAAAATAAAATATAGACTGAGCATCTCATTCATAAATAGCTGGAACATGCGGTCAGACACTGTCTTGTTATTGTTGTGTTATTGTTTTAGGTTATAACGAGTGCGACACGAGCGATAGATAGGTTGTCTCTGTCGTAACG